GTATATACTTTAACGACTTGCAGTCCGTGTGCGATCGCCTGTTTACATAGTGACATAGTTGATATAGTGTACGACCAGTGGCGTAGCGTGTGCGTATGCTGTGTATGCACAGCATACACTTCACAAATTACAAAAATAATTTTTTTTATATATATTAATAATGCTATATTTTTATAAAAAATTTTCAATTGTACTAATTTAGTATTTCATAATATAATATTTTGTGGATTTTCTTCCAAGTTCATTAATCATTAAAATTGATTAATCCGCAACACCACGGCCGCGCAGCGCTATAATCCTTATAATATCTAGTGGCTAGTGCCTACCATGTTTATTATGTACGCAGTATGCACGTTGGCGAGTGCATACGGGTACAGACATTCAGCGACAGTTAATTATATTTCTTATCGATAATATTAATAACAAAACATATTACCCTCGCGGTCGTGTATTAGTCACACGTGTATGCGGGATTAGTATTGCATACGCTGTCGTTGACCGTCGTATATCGAGTTATTCTGTCGGTTTACTAAACTATTATTATAAGTGTGTGTTAACTGTATATTGTGTGGTACGTCAATAATGAATTCAAATAATACAATAATATGCGAATGTGCAATTGATAAATTGTTTGTAAAGCCTTTCGGTTCTCTAAATTTTGATGAGAAAAAAAGTATTATTGAGATTGGAAGACTCACGCCAAAATTACCGTATTTAACTACAAAATAAAAAAATTATGTTCGATCATTTAAGTATGAGTATTATAGTACATTTAAGTGGCTATCAGGCATAAAAAAACAAATAAACTTTATTGTTGGCCTTGTATTATTTTTTCTCGTGAAGAAAATGTTTGGACTAAACACGGTTTTAACGATCTCAATAACTTTCATCATTTAAAAAGTCGTCATGAATCCTCTAAAAATCACATACAATGTTTAATAGATTTAACCAAATTTGGTAAAACAAGAATTGATACATGTTTGAGTGAAGCTTTTAGAAAAAATATCGAAAAACATAATGTTACAGTTAAAAATAATAGATACATATTAAACAATATGATAGATTCAACGTGTTTTTTAGCTCAGCAAGAAATGGCATTTAGAGGCTACGACGAGTCAGATTCATCTGTTAATAGGGGTAATTATGTTGAACTTATTTATTTGATGGCCCAGCGCGATGAGTTGTTAAAAACCCACCTTGAAACATCCACTATATTTACTGATTTATCTGGAGACATTCAAAATGACTTAATTCAATCAATTTCAAATGTTCTTCTCAAACAAATTGCAAATGAAATACATGATACTCCGTTTGTTGCAATAATTATAGATGAGACACCGATATTGTTTCCAAGTCACAGTTATCAACAGTTTTGCGTTATGTTAATACCGTTAATGGAAACGAAGTTGTCGAAAGATTTTTGGAATTTACTGACGTTAGTGAAGATCGATCCGCGAAAGCATTATCAGAGCATGTATATCGTTTTATTTTAAAGTATGCATGTGAAGAAAAATTAATAGCCCAAACATATGACGGCGCAGCTGTTATGTCCGGGCAACATAATGGTTTGTAATCATTAGTGCGTTCGAGATATGAAAATGCTATTTTTGTACATTGCTAAGCACATAAAATAAATCTGTTCTTAAAATAATCAGTTGAGCATATTAAAGATTGTAAAATATTTTTTTCAACCCTTTCTGGTTTATCGTCTTTTTTTTCAAAATCTACCAAACAAGTACATGCACTTGATAATGTAGTTAAAAAAAGTTTTCCATCAGTAGCTCCAACAAGATGGAATTGCAATAGTCGTCTTATGGAAATGATGGTTGAATATAAACTAGATGTTATAAATTTAATGGAATCAATCATAGAGAATGCCCAAAAATTGGGATTCGGAAACATTGTCTTCTGCTAAAGGGTATGTAAAAATTCTTCAAAGTTTTGATTTAAATTTTTTCCTTAAGTTATTTTTAATCATTTTACCGCAAGCAACAATTATTTTTTAAATCGTACAAAAAAAAGTTTTTGATATTTCTTATTGCTCAAAAAAGATAGACTATTTCATTGTTTACTTAAATACTGTCAGGTCAAGTTTTGATGATATTTGGTCACAGTTAGAAATTATAAACAATGAAATACAGCCTCAAACTCACCGCTCAAAAAGGCAAAGATTTAACCAAGATTCTGGAGATAAAAAAAACAATTACAAACGACTATTTTTTGAAATAATTGACGTTATAATTAATAAAACAAAAGAAAGATTTTCAAATCTTAATCAATTACATTTTTTTGCGTTGTTAGACTTAAAAAAATTTAATCTATATGCTAATGATTTTCCTATAAACTTATTCAATTCATTGAAACAATCATACGGTAAATACTTTGATTTACCTAAATTGAGAAGTGAACTATCGGTTATCTACTCAACGGAAGAATTTCAAAAATCTAATCTTCACTCTCTTTTAATTTATTTAAAAACAACAAATTTAGACGAAAACTTACCACAGGCAACAAAATTGATTTCATTGTTATTAACTATTCCAGCTACTAGTGCATCAGCAGAAAGATCATTCTCCTTCCTTAAAAGGATTAAGAATTTATTAAGAAATTTCCAAGAACAAAATCGTCTTTCATCATTATCAATGTTGTCAATAGAAAAAAAGTTAATGGTAGAGTTGAAAAGAAAATCTACATTTCATGATGAAGTAATCGAAAATTTCCTTATTAAAAATAGAAGTATTGATTTAATATATAAATAATTTATTAGTTGATAAGTTTATTACTTTATTCAATTTTATATGAGATGTAATTATTAAAATAAAATAATTTTTAAAAAGTGATTTATTTTGTGTTTATTAAATATAATATTGAGTTTTGTTCTAGGTAATGTAATATAAATACGTAAAACTTAGTATGTTTAAAGTAAAATTTTAAAAATAGTAAGGGGGTGTGGGGGTGCAGCCCCCCACGATTTCATAAACTTAAAATTTCAATGCATACACTAAGCTGAAACCCACGCTACGCCACTGTGTACGACGTACCATTGTTTGAGTTTCAAAGTGGCAATGAGTTTGGTCCTTTTAGAATCCGGCAGTACATCGTTGCCAGACAAGAACGGCAAGTCATTGTGCTCGTCATGCAGCTCTTCTGGATATAATACGTCCACTTCATATATACGCCCCGTATTACAGTATCCGAAAGCTATTGAAGGTCGGCCAGAAGATCTGCTCCTTCATACCACCGGAAACCTCCATACGGCATGGGCTGGCTCATGGCCCTACCGTACAGGTTATTGCCTGTAATCATTTAACGTTCTTAAATTGCTACTCATTTATTACACTTATATATAATAATACTTACAGTCTTGGTACACAATCCATGAGTCTGGTTTTGTTGAATCATAATCTGGTGTCTTTGGATTGTTGGCATTGGCATAGTGCTTGACGGCCTGCGCCTACCCACCACGAATGCCCTATTCCACCATCAGTAGCATGTCGTAGTCGTTCAAGAGCTCCAACTTCATCCTGTGTACTTCAACATACAACAGAAGCTAAAATCCGTTGCGGTATAATAATAAGAAAGTATTATGGTATTAATATTTAATGAATTGTGTAAATACAAAAGGGGACTTAACATTCTTCTTGGTGATCAGTGTTCAATCAGTGAATGTTGCATTATAATTATTATTTTGACTCTTCATCACACTTATCCGCGTGATAGAACTTGGACTTGGAACACCCAGTTCATCACACTCTATCAATCATGAAGACTACATGATATTAATATTATATGTATTATAATATTATAATATTAATGATATTGACTACAAATAAACAATATTCATAATTGTAATCTATTTTTACCTCAATAATAAATCCTTATTTTTTAATTATAGCAGCTAGATATCCAGCTTTAAAAAATACATCATGCGAGCATTGCCATTTCTCCGGGCACGGGGAACAGGAGTGCCACATTAAAGGTACTTATTTATTTTAATACTTTTTTCATTTAATTTTTTTAAGGTCTGTTGACAACCTTTACAGGATGCATTTTATGTTTCTAGTTTATCTAGATTATAATAAATTAAATTTGATTTTTAAATTTCAATTGTTATATACAACCTTAATTTTTAAAAATCAATACAGTAAAATTGATATTTTTATAATTAATTAAACAATTGATTAAAAGAAAAATTCTAACTAACAACAATTTTGTTTGTAAAATTTTAAGTTCTATAACATTTTTTGTTAATAAAAATTGCCAAATGAGTTTTAAATATGCGGAAAAAAATATATTTATTAATACTTAGACATTTTTATAGGTTCAATTTAATAAACACTTAATCTCTCTACAGAGTGATCAAAATCTGGCAAGACACTTATTTTCTCAAAAACTATTGAGAATTTAAAATTTTTGTAAAAAGAAAAATGATAAAGCAAGGCTTAAAACCGGTTATCAGTGATAACCGAAAACCAGTAAAAAAACCTTTTTTTTTTTTGAGAACCGGAACCTCTTGAGGGTTTTTTTTTTTTAATAAAAGCGGTAATTAATTACTGATTACCGATTTAATTTTATAGATGTTAACCTAGAATCGGGAATCGTTATTTAAAACCGGTTTTGTAACAAAAATGGCTTAATTTCTATACAAAAATAAAACTGTTTTTGTGAAATACCGATAATAGGATGAATGTTTGAACGGCAATATATCAGAGATTTCACCTTGCAAAATTTATATAGCAATATATATATATAATAATTTGAGATAATTAATATAATTTTAAACCACTTTAGTGTGTACTTCAACCACGCTTATGGGTTATAATACGTATCTCCAAATATACATTAATGTAATGAGTACATATGTGATTTTCATGGAAGCAAAAATATTTCATGTGCATTAAATAGCTGTGTCGTCTTTATTTTTAAATGTGCAGTGAATATTACACCAAAGTTTTTTTTTAATTAAATAATTTAAATATTTATTTAAAATGAAGAATCCAGTATTAAAAATGTTTTTTAAACACGATAACGCTAGTAATAGAAGCGAGTGCAATTTATGTAAAAAATTTATTACGGGTAAGCATTCATCTAACTTAGAGAAACATGTATTTGCGCATCACAAATTACAATATGCAGATCTAATTAAAGCCAAAAATAAACTAAAACAAACAATAGAAAACTTAGATGCAGAAACATCACTAATAAATAAAGTAAGATATGATGGTTAAAATGTAATTGTAATATTGGATACACAATATTGTGTATCCAATATTACAATTACATTTTTTGTTTATTTGAAATTTTTATTATGTAGTTTATAGTCTTTCTTTTAAGATAAATAACAGTCAGAGCACATTGAATAATTTCGTAAGCATTTCTAAAAAATCCATCAAACTTAACTTGCATAAAAATTCACTAATTGCTGCTTGTATTGAAATGGTAACAATAAATAGAAGACCTTTGACTTTATTACAAGATTCAGGTTTTAGGAAAATTTTGGATCCTGTCTTAGATGCATTTTTACCGGAAAGTATGAGTATTTCATAATACTTATATTTATATGATAAAAAAATATTTTAACTTCGAAATTATATATCTGTTATCCATTTATTGAATTTATAAATAGATTATTGAGTGAAAATATGAGAAATACTAATTTATTATTTTATAAGTATCATTGAATATTAATAATAATCAGTATTCTACTGAAATAAAACTGATAATAAAAACCAAAAAAGTTGAAATACATATACTTTATTTTATTTGTTTACTAGAGATTGCCATTAATTCTCAAAATATTAAAGGACATATTACACACTTAAGTAACAATGTAGTGTCTGATATTACTAAAGATATGAAAAACCGTATGGTATCATTAAAAATTGATGGTGTTTCATGGCATAGCCGTTCTTTTCTGGGAATTAATGTTCAATACATGTCTTGTGATTCTATGCAGTTACAAATAAAAACATTAAANTCTTGTGATTCAATGCAGTTGCAAATAAAAACATTAAGTATTTCTGAAGTATTAGGTGGTCATACAGCAGAAAATCTTAAGTTAATGGTATTGACCATTAATATAAATGATATATATTTTCTAAAAAAAGATTTTATACGATCATAGGTATTTGATGTCCTCAATAAATATGGATTAAATAAAAACCAAATATATTCTATAACAATTGACAATGCTCGAAACATGATTAAATTGACANACAATTGACAATGCTCGAAATATGATTAAATTGACAGATTTAATAGCTGAGCACGAGGAAAACATTGACAATGGTAATTAATTTTTGTATAGCATGAACTGGAAAATTTGTATACATTGTTAAGTTCAAAGTCAACATTTTTATTATTAATTTTTATTAATAAATAAAATTTTATTAATTTAAAAAAAAACATTATCAATAGTTAAATTTATGGAATCATTTTTTATTTTATATATACATAGAAAACATTGAAGATCTAATTGTAGAAAATGAACCCAGTAATTTTGAAGATGAAGTTGTCAAAGCAATTGAACCTGAAGAAACAACTATATTAGTTAGGTGTGCAGCTCACACATTAAACCTTTGCATTGAAGATGGGCTTAAAATTCCAGTTATTCAACAAGTTTTAAGTCGCGCAAGACATGTAATTACAAAATCTATTAATATATAATAGAATTTTATTTTAAAATATTATACCTCACAATTTAATCTATAAAATGTTTTTCAAATAATTACAAATGATTCAAATAAGTGTTGAAATATTTTACTGCTAATATTTATTTACTGTATATTTTGTTTGTATTTTATAGGTAGTAAAAAAATTAAGGACCCCAACTTATGCTGGATTATTCAAACGAAATAACTTGAAACTGGCAATAATTGATGTTGAAACAAGATGGTCATCTACATATGATATGCTTGAAAGACTTTTAAAATTGAAAAGTTTTTGTCAAGAGTACGAAGAAACAATGCCAGATTTAAAAGTATCTTGAGAAGATTGGGATAAAATAGCTTCTATGGTTTGTTCATTTTTAAATAAAATTTTTAATACTTTGTATATTCTTGTAATTGTTAATTTTTTAAAAATATATACCTCTGTTGTTATGGGTTATATCTCTTGAGCCTTCTAAAATTGGAATTGTCATGTTGCAAAGAAGTGATATAATTATGGGAGACTTTTTTGCTTTGACACAGTCCCGCGGCGTACTCGATACACGGAGCCCCGCGACCCGTGACACCTTTATCAGCTGTCGCCCTATTACGTGCATATGGTAGTTTAACTGACTAACACCGCGTGCGATACGCCACGGTACAAAGTCCAGCAAGTGCCGCACGTCCATCTACGACCCGCCGCAAATATAAGTTAAATCATCTCCGTGACACCGTACCGATTTGATCGCTCGCCGTCAACTCCACAGTGCCGAACACGCAGCTACGAACATTTTGTGCCTTTCGTATATGTATATATATATATATATATTTGTCATCTTTAGTTTTACTGTGGTCTTTCTGATATTACGCCTTCCAGGGCAATATAAAGTTTTGTTCGAAACACCAATAAAATATTCCAACGTTCATTTTCGAACCATCCAAGTGTTGTGTTTTCTTTTCTTAGCATTATAACATCCCGCGAGTGCGGCAAAATACCGACCGCAGCAGCTTGTTGGTGGAACATTATTGCTAAATTAGAAATTATTAATACTAGTTTGAGTAATGCTTTAAAAAATTCTATGAAGATAAGAGGAAAAAATTTACTAGAAAATCCAATTTTTTTGGCAGGTTTGTTTACATATTTTGTATTATTATTGCTTATGTATAAAAAAAAAATGTATTTAATTTTTTTACAGCAAACTATTTAGATCCTAGATTTCAAAGTACTTTATCAGAAGATAATAAAATTGAAGCAAAATCTCATTTAATAAAAACTTGGAATACTATGGAAAACCTGACTTCACAAGATTCAGAAATGAATAAAAACAATATATCTGACATAGAAACAAACAATTTTGAAAATGTTGATGATCCACTTGAACAGTTTTTAAAATCACAAAGTGGAACTACAACTAATTTAACACCTCTACCTGGAAGCGACAAATGTTCTATTAGAGTTTTAATTGAAGAATTTGATAATAGTTGTAGATTACATTATAAAACTGATATTAAACAATTTTGGTTAAATGCAAAGAAGCCAGAATTATTTAAGTTAGCGCAAGTTGCAATGGCTGTTCCATGCACACAGGTAATATTTATTAAACTTATTATACTCATTAAAATTATTGGTTGAGGTCAAGAAATTATTCATTAGGAAGGTAGAGCTGAAATATTTATACTTGAATTCTTATTTATGTACTTATTTTAGTTTCATTAATAATCTGTAAAGTCAATAATCATTTTATTTGAAAGTTATTGTGTTATATGTGTTCACTATTTAAAATATTATAAATATAACATGGGTAATACTTGAGTGTTATTTTATTTTTACAGGTTACAGTAGAAAGAACTTTTTCTGGTTTGAAAATGTGTGTAATGATTTAAGGACATCGATTTCATTATCATTGCTTGATGAAATTATGATTATTAGAGGCAACCAAAAAATATTTCATAAAGCTTGTAAATAAAAAAATCTGTTTTTAATAAATAAAACGGTAGCACAGTGGGGTCGCGGCACAGTGTGGACGAGGCATAGATGAGACAAGTATAGATGATATCTGACAGTGATTAAAATCACTATAAAAAAAAAACGCTTCAATGCAAATCTTTAGATAGTGTTTAATTTTAAAAAATTGGTGGATTATTCCAAAAGCAATCATAACTCTTATTCCCTTAATTTTTCCCGATTTATAATTATAATATATGAATACATAATAATAATAGTAATTAAATTTAGTATGAAATTGAGATTCAATANTCACTGTCAGATTAAATCTATCTGGACCCAACTATGCAATGTCTCCACTATGCCGCGACCCCACTGTGCTACCGTTTTTTTACGGTGATATTATAAAAATAAAAAGGAGTTTATATTCATATGCTTTAATGCGTATAAAAATTTAAAGGGATTGATTCAATACTTTTTAATAAAAAAATTTTGTTGCTTATGAATAAATAAACTAGACTACAAGGAAATTTCATCAAAAACAAAAATATACTTTTCTAAATCAACTTTTCGCGATGTTTTCAAATGTGCAATTAAACTTTTTTTATTACTTCTAAGTTTTAATATTATTACTTATTATTGAAAAAAATAAGTATTTACATATAAAAAAAAATAATGAAGAACAAAAAAAAATTGTTTTAAATTAATACTGATTATTAATATGTAAAAAATAAGGAAAATGACATATTTAACCTATTTTCTTAATAGTTTAAAGTTGATTTTTGTGAATGTTTTAATAAAAAAATTTGTTTATTTTACCATAACTCAATTGGCAAGTTTGAAATTGACATCATTAACTAGAAAATTTTATGAAAATTAAAAAAATTGTATCGTTAAGATTAATATGTAGTTAGGAAGTTTTATAAATACTATTTATAGTAAATTTATTAGAATAGCTCAATATTTTTTTGCATTTTTATCGTAATAGATAACTTAAATAGAAGTAATAGTAATCATTTTCTAATAATTTTTGGTGTTTAAAAAGATTCTGCAATTGAAATATTTAGAACTTAACTAATTTTAATGATTTACTTTAACTAAATGAACCAATCAAAACAAAGTTGTTAAAAATATTTACTCAATTGAGCGTATTATAAAATTTGATTATAATTGTAAAAATCCATTGTTAATTCAGGAGAAACTAATAATCATTTTTTAACTTCGATGCGAAGCTGAGAAGGTATTGGTTTTACTATGATGTGTTTTTTTTTTTGTGTCTGTTACCACTTTTTCTCAGCTCTCACCGAACGGATTTCTTTCAACGATACGTCAAAAGATCATAAATCGTATCTAGTCGAAGACACTACCATCAAAAATTGAAAAAATTTCCCTCGTTCTCCGTAAATGGGGGAAACCTCCAAAAAAATTACAAATTTAAAAATCGATAATTTTCGAAATTTTTTCAATTTTTTTTACTAAAAACTGCCATAACTTTTTCAAAAATGAACAAATCAATATAATTTTTTTTTTGTAGATGCTTGATGCCTTTAATTATCATTTGGTATATTTGTTTTTATAAATTTAACCTTTTACCGGCCCAAAGGGGGGATTTAAAATGTCAACTTTTTCAACTTAAATTTTGAAAGTGTTCCGGAAAGTCTGACACTTTTATATATATCTTAAACTAAAGATAATGCAATGTACTTCATTATGAAAAAAAATTTCGGACTTTATTTTGTCTTCATGGTGAAAATTACTACCAAATGCTATTTTTGTGTGAAAATTCTCGATTTTATTTTTTTAATTTTTAACTTTATAACGCTATAACTTATTGAAAAGTTATGGATGAACTCAATTTTTTTATGAGATATAATATTTTTTAATAATCCCTTTTTCATTCGACATACTTTATCTTAATCAGGATATTAATAAAGAAATAGCAGATCATGTAGCTTTTGGAATAATCCACCAATTTTTTAAAATTAAACACTATCTAAAGATTTGCATCGAAGCGTTTTTTTTTTATAGTGATTTTAATCACTGTCAGATATCATTATACTTGATCCAACTATGGCACATCACCACTGTGCTGGGTTTTTTTTTACTCTATTTGTGTGTGTTACTACTAGACTACAATATTCGAAATATTGTAATATAAACATTTTTTTTCAAACTTGCAAATTGAGCTAAAAGTTATGGTAATAAATTAATTTTTTTTAATTATAAACTTTCACAAAAATCAACTTTAAAGGATTAAAAACAGGTTAAATATGTCATTTTCCTTATATGTAACATATTAATAATTAAAATCAGTATTAATTTAAAGCAATTTTTTATTGTTCTTAATTATTTTTTATTTGTAAATACTTATTTTTAATAATAAGTAATAATATTAAAACTTAGAAGTGATTACAATATTATTTATTATGTTATTACATTACAAAAATTTTACTTAAATTTTTTTATTATTATTTATGTATAAGTATAACCCGTTAAAATAATGTTTACTTAACACATTGTTAAGTAACACGTATTTTTTGAGAATACTAATAAAATGTAATATTAGTAATAATTAATTGTTTTTTATTAAATATTTAAATCATTCATATAAATTAACACAATTATTGTATATAATAATGGAACTATGAGAAAAATTTAGCATAAGAAAATTAATTTAAAGGTATTTATTATTAAATCCCAAGGGTCAGGAACCCCTTGGGATAATGAACTTGCACGGCTGAATCATCATTCACTTCACAATTGTTATCTAATTAAACAAAAATAAATGATTAAAAATAGAGTTATGAAATCATGTTACGTATTAACTGAATAAAACAATAGTACATTACTTTATAACCATAGAGACAAATTTAAAAAAAAAAACCGGTTTTTTACGGTTAATGGAAAATTTAAACTTTTAAACATCCTGTTTTCACGAGAGGGGTAAACGATAACTTTATTTATAAATAAAAGTAAAATATGAACTAGAACTCATAACTTTTATTTAAAAAAAATTAAATTACTTAAATAAAACTGTAAAACGTTCAAAATATTACTATAAAAATAAAGTAAACTTGTGACTTCACATAAGTTAACTGTTTTTTCATAATTTTTAAATTAATTTATACTCTTATTTATTTGTTTATGTTATTTATTCTATTTAGTAAACACTTTGGTGATAACACTTAGATGGGTAAACCAAATCAAGACAATTCGGTATGAGATGCTCACAATGGACCAAACAGACCAACTAAAACCAAAACTTTTCTAGTTGGTATAAATGAACTGTTTAATAATAAAATAATAATTAAAAAGTGTTTAATGTTCAACCTTCATTTAATAATATTTTCAAGAATATCATATATATTAGCTAATGCTTTATTTTTAAAATATGGTATAAGTTTTTAGGATTAGTGAATAATTTTTTTTCATTTTATAATATACATAAATATCAGCCAAACTGTTTAAAAATATATTTTTTTTTAATTTCTAGCTTACTAGACCTACTAGAAATATTAAAATATATTGACGTTAAAATCCACACAATCAATTTTCGACTAAATATTTTGAAAAAAAAAAAAATTGTATTCTACAGTAAAAATCAAACTACTCTGACACACTAATTATAATATTTGCACAAAAATTGTAAAACAGAAGCCGTTTTTCCGATTGTTTTTGATCAAAATACGAAAAACACGTTGAGTGACTGGTAAAATTTTCTTTAAAAATTTCAAATTTTTACAAAATACTTATTATAATATATATAATAAAGTTAAAATTGTTCTCATTAAAATTTCAATGATTGAATTTTTTTTATCCATCCTAATATACGTATATTAGAGAGTATAAAATATATTAGAATGCCAGAAATTCGACAAATTTTCGAATTCTTTTGAGGGCCGGTTTTTTTATTATAACCAGTAAAAAAATTATCTCCTGTAAAATTTGAGACCAATCCGATTACGTTAAAATATGGAAACTTATGGTCAAAGTTTGACTTTGGCTATGTTTTTTTTAGAAATTGACTTACTATTATCATAATTTATAAAGTATTACAAATGAAAAAATTTTAGAACAAATAAAAATGTTACTTATTTTGCAAAAAGTGATTCCGTGACTTTTCAGTAATTTTTTGTGGCTTTTGAGTTAAATGTTTTTTAATTTTTAAATTCATAATACTTTTAATATATATTTCAATTTTATTCAATTAATTAGCCACAAGTGATCAAATATATAAAAAGTATTTTAATGTATTATAAAATCATTACTTTCTTGACTAATGTTTTCCTGTATCTCTACATCATTAATACGTAGTATCGAAGGATATGTTGTAATATCTAAACGTATTAAAATGGTTGTTAGGTCAATTTAAAACTTATTTAGATTAAAAAATAGCGGTACTGTCAAGTATTAGGGAAAATTTACCATTTTGTTGAATTGTTTCTTGCGTATTTACATAATTGGTATTTTGTATAAAATTTGTAGAAGGATTTTGTGCGATATCTAAATATGTTAACAACAAATTATTTCAAATAAATGTAATATTGCTTAAATAGTTATACCATGATTGTCACTGGTAGATAGTTGAACAGGTAAAAATGTCTGACTTGTGTTACAATCAAATATAAATCCAAGATCAATATATTTTTTCTTGATTGTTGTTAGGATAAAATTACTAATTTTATCACTAAGAAAAATAAATAGTTCTTGAAATTTTCTTTGAAGTGTTAATGTATTGAATTCTATAATCCATAAATTCCATAATGAATCCAAGTTTTTTAGTTGACAAAATGACTTATCTTCATTAAGTTCATTACGCCTTGACAATAATATTTCCTCGATAGTTGTTAATACATCCTTAATTGAAAGCAAACTGGTTCTCAACGTAGTCAATAAAATTTTTTCTTCCTGTATATTTGTTAGTAACCTGCTTAAAATAAAACGGTTTCTTATCTCTCTTTTCCGGGAAACAGTATGATATTTATCTATTGCATCTAAAGCTCCTTTCATACATTCTGCCATCGGAACAATTTCAATCATTTTCATTAAAAGTGTGATTGTACAATTGTGCGCCCTAGCATAACTAGAATCTAATAGTTCAAAACAATGTTCTTGAAATTTAGTTAATGAAAAATTTATAAAATCGAAATCATTAGCGTAAGAACATCCAAGGAATAGCATTGTTTGCCGTATACAATCATTACAATTAAATAATGTTACAGGATTAAAAATTAAATTTTTCAGTTCATGTTTATTGTTTCCATACTTAATTAATTCGACATCATTTATATTATTCCATCCTGGATGACGTAGAAAATTATTTATGATAATCGCATTTTCTTTTTTATTATATGTTCCTTCAGTATGTAAAAAAGCGAAAAACATACATAAATACACTTGAATATTTAGTATTATTGCCATTTTCATTTTCAAAAAGTTATGAATCTATTTTTAGCTTCGATGCGAAGCGGAGAAGGTATTAATTTTACTATGATGTGTTTTTTTTTTTTTTTTTTTTATGTCTGTTGCCACTTTTTCTTAGCTCTCACTGGACCGATTTCTTTCAAAAATACGTCAAAAGATCACAAATCGTATCTAGTTGAAGACATTACCCTTAAAAATTGAAAAAAATTCCCTCGTTCCCCGCAAATGGGGGAAATATCCAAAAAAATTACAAATTTAAAAATCGCTAATTTTCGAAATTTTTTCACTTTTTTTTCTTAAAACTTCCATAACTTTTTGAAAAATCAACAAATCAACATAATTTTTTTTTATACTAAAACCTTAGATATTTACCTTTCATTTGATATCATTTTTTTGAAAATCTATCACTTAACCTACTCATTGGGGGGGATTTAAAATGGCAACTTTTTTACAAAAATTAATTTTTTCAACTTAATTTTTGAAAATGTTCCGGAAAGACTGCGTCCTTTAAACATATATCAAATTAAAGCTTATTTTATGTACTACAAAATGAAAAAAAAAAATTTGTCCCGACACTTTTTTTTCTACATTTAAACGGCTGCCGTAGTTAAAAAAACACTATTTTTGTGTTAAAATTTTCGATTTTCGATTTTAAATTTTCAACTTAAAAATGCTATAACTTTTTGAAAAATGTATATATCAGCACAAATTTTTTTTTTCTAAATACATTATAAGTACATCTTTCATTTGACATACTTTTTATTAAAATTGGACAATTTCCCCTTATATAGGGGGCGTTCAAAACTTAAAATATTGTAAAAAACATAGATCTTTTTCAACTGAACTTTTGAAAATGTTCCGGAAATACTGCGTCCTTTAAACATATATCAAATCAAAGGTTATGTTATATACTATCAAATGAAAAAAAAAAATTTGTCCCGACATCTTATCTTCTATGTGCAAATGGCTGTCGAAAATTTAAAAAAAAATGTAATGTTTGCGATAAAAATTACATTTTATCGGGATGTTTTTTGTACTTAAAACTGCCATAACTTTTTCAAAAATGAACAAATAAAAATAATATTTTTTTGTATTGAAACCTTAGATATTTCCCTTTCATTTGATATAATTTTTTTTGAAAATCTAACACTTATTCTGCTCACTGGGAGGATTTAAAATAGTAACTTTTTTACAAAAAATAACTTTTTCAACTTAATTTTTGAAAATGTTCCGGAAATACTGCGTCCTTTAAACATATATAAAATTAAAGCTTATTTTATGTACTACAAAATGAAAAAAAAAAATTTGTCCCGACGATCTATCTTCTATACGCAAATGGCTACCATATTGAAAAATATACTATTTTTGTATGATAATTATGGGTTTTGTATTTTATTTTAATAGAAGTTGATGTTGCTTTTGCAATTATCCATCAATTTTTTAAAATTAAACACTATCTACAGATTTGCATCGAAGCGTTTCTTATGATAGTGATTTTAATCACTGTTAGATAAAATCTATACTGGACCCTACTATGCAATGTCTCCACTATGCCGCGACCCCACTGTGCTACCGTTTTTTTTTATATCTATCTTTTTATTAAAAAAAAGAGTAGTTGTAGAAAATTTGATTCAATGATGACATCAATAAAGTTTTTTATTTCCATACTAAAATAAAAAATTTGCAAAAAATGCTACACTATGTAAACAGGTGCAGATAGGCCAACAAAATTAATTTACATGTGAGGAGCTGGATTGTTGTTTTAAACACTGCGTGTTCTATTAATTACTTTGAGTACATTAGAGTAAATAGTGTTTTAAACTTAGGAGTGCTCCATTTCCTTACATTAACCTTACTTTTATCTATTAATTGATGTTCTCCACATGTGTGAGATTAGAAATAAATTGTATTAATACACATAATATGACTAGTAATAAAATATAATAAACATACAAGTATAATAAAAAAATACTTTTTATTAAGGAACATTTTTTAATGATTGTTATTAAGACAATTTTAACTTGCATCAGTTTTTTAGCTTCGATGCGAAGCTGAGAAGGTATTAATTTTACTATGATGTGTTTTTTTTAGCTTCGATGCGAAGCTGAGAAG